TGCGTTTGATTGATGATGTTGGGTTGGGATGGGGGGTGGGGGGGGTGGGGGGGTGGGGGGGTGTTAATAACGTCCCTCTGGACATTCATCTACTCATTCATTCATTCATTCAGCCGAGCAAGCCGCGTGCACAGCCGAGTAAGCCGCGTGTACATCCGAGTAGCGCGTGTACAGCCGAGGCTTCGCCCCCCTTAGAGTCCTTGGAGATCCCGGCTGGTTCCGTCACTTCAAGCCATCTTAAGCGTCCATAAGGAGTCACTAGCCGGGACCCTCCGGTTCGGTCAATTTGAAGAAGCTGGTTAGTACATACATCAGAGATTTGGGACTTGTGAGGTCCAATGACCACTAGTCAATGGCAGAACGTATCAGGGGTAGTGTCATCACACACCACAGTTGAGTTGCGAGCGCCATGGGGGAAGAGATACAGTGAAGCGGCATGTGGCTGCGTAGCTACTCATGTTCTCCGTGGTTTTCACCAGTCTTTCAGGGAGACACACTTGGTCTCACCAGCCGTGTGGTGCATGCCTTGGATTTGCTGTCCAGGAAGAGAACAAAACAACAATGAGTCGCCAGCTTGGATTCACCCCCATCTCCCTAAGCAAATCCAGGGTATGGTGCATGTTTCTTGGCCAAAAAAGGACCTGGGCCCTTCTCAAGGGCCCTGCTATACCCTGCTCCAGAGACCTGGACAAAGGTCCAGAAATAGTTTCACTGGAGTCAGTGGTGAATCTGAGCAACTGAGCAAAACGTCTGGAAACATTCTGCATCAAGAACGACAGATGTCCCGTAAACAAAAACATCGCTGTGTGCTTTTCCAATGATAGACGATAGACATTTCATGAGGCTTTGACAAAAGAAAAAAACACACCTTGTGACCATCGCCATGGAGCTGTTAGGGATATATTTTTATGCTATATGACATGAGGCTTTGACCAGTTTGTCCTAGAAGTATCATTCGGATGTCCATACCTAGGTACTGTGGTACATGTTACATATTTGTGTGATCATAGTAGGTCAAGGATGAAAATAGAAGCGTGCATCATTGAAACCACAAACCAGGTACAGTACTTGCCTTGTTTCTCAGGCACCTCGAAGACTCCAAATATGTTGCTGTGATTCCACCTTCACCCAGTGAGTGCTGTCACTGACCCAAGCGGCAAGAAAAGGCCACTCTGCCCGGTGAGCCCAGAAGTTCCAAGCGTATTCAGATGTGGGAGCAGCTTGAAAAAGGACACCCCCGACAAGACCACCAGCACGGAGGCCCTGGCAACGGACGAACGTGGCAACCGATGTGAGATCCTTCCAAAAGGATGGCCCACGTTTTGGGAGATCCTCAGGGAGGTCCTTGTAAATGGAAGAACTGACTTATTAAGCACACATATGTACAGCTTATGAACATCCAAGGACTCATAAAGCGATACGCGAGCAAAATCCAGCATGGGTCAAAGTATGGCAGGACTTATAGAATCTGGGCACCGGCATAAACCTTCGTGTCTTCCTTTCAACTACACACAACACACAAGGTAATTCCAGCTTGTTTGATGTAGGTTTTCTCGTCTCTGCACCATCCACTGCTGCTGCCTGCAACAAAGCCTCCACAGCTCATGCATCACGAAGTGGGCGAAGCAACTCAATCCTGACCATCGACCAGAAACAAAGGAGAATGGACTATAGATGTCCTAATCTTCTCCAAAACGGTTGTGGACATCACATTCGCTTCACCCAGGTTTTAGCCCATTGAAACCATTTCATTCATCCAGCCACTTCCTCGAGATCGTCAGCGGTCAAAACCGCTGACATCTCCGCATCTCCTCATCGAACTCGAGGAGGGTTGACCACCCCGCCACGAGTCTCACACCGCCAATACAGGGATCGGCTTGTGCTTTCGGGTCAACCCGTGTTGTGAAGTCCACTTATCAAGTTTCGGGCTCAAGAAATCTGCACATGTTGGGGATGGTTCACTATTTACGAAAAAACCTCTCCGTCCACCGGAATTTCAGAGCAGCTCGCTGCACGCTCCGACTCGCTTGGACTGGCCGGGCCTTCTCAAGGCCAAGCGATGGCAATGCCAAGCATGCCATGGGGTGACCGGCGACCCAGGCACCCCAGGGCTCCGAACGAATACGCCGAACGACCGCTGCGACGAGTCTACGTGGGCTGCGAAGAAGCTGGTGACGTGCGACTCGACATCGGAAACTCGTAGTGAAGTTGAAACTGGTTGAATCTTTGTAGGGGGTTACAACCCTGGCGGCTTAGGTCGATAGCGAGAATGTGAAACTAGCTATCGGGGTTCGGGGGCAGCTGATATAGCCCCCCGAGTCTCGAGTTTTCCTCAGTCAGTCGCTCCCGAGTGATGAGATCAACAATCCCTTTTTCAGACTTTGACTGGAACCCCAAACCGCTCAGTCAGTCGGTCGCAGAAGCTGCAAAGGCTCTCTTTCTTTCTGAATTTGAGAAACAGAAAAGGCAACTCTACTCTTCACTTTCACTGCGATTGATCCAATGGATTAAACTGTGAATCTTGATCCTGCTGCATGTTTTCTTAAGTGATGGAGCTTCTAATTGGATTACTAGAAGGCTTCCTCTATTTGATGGTCGGTCAATGTCGGTCTTCTCAAAGGGGTTCTTGAGCAGTGCTGCGGAATCTATGGACCTGTCGACCATGGAACGCATCGCAAAAAAATGCATCGAAATCCCTAACAATCCGTGCATGGACTTTTTGCCTACATGGGGGTGATTTTAAGATGTCCTTAGGATCAACATGAGGGTGATTTTAAGATGTCCTGCGGGTCAACATGGGGGTGATTTTTCGATGTCCTTAGGGTCAACATGGGGGTGATTTTAAGATGTCCTTAGGGTCAATGGAAAGGTGCAGCTGGACATGTTGGCAAGGTGCAGTTGGACAAGGTCTCCAACAGAAATACCCTCCCTGGAATCTGGGTGAACCTACTTGGGAGTCTTAACAAGGATTAAATGGGTTCGAGGCAAAGATCATGGATGCAAACCTAGCTGTCTTTCTCAAATGGTGCAGGATTTTGCGACAAAAACAACCTATTTGCCTATGATTTCTGATTGGGCACTAAACGTGATTGTAGTTCTGTCATCCTCCCTGTGCAACCTGGTGTCCTGGTCTTCCACTTCTGCGGATGTACTGCGTACCACCAGTAATTCTGATTAATATAGATTAAATGAGTGTAACAGTCATGCTGTAGTGCAATGGCTGCAAACGTAGGTCACCTAAGTCTTCTCAATTCCCGTCACATGGCTCCTTGATCTTGCTTCACTTGAAGGATCAAACTGTTCCGCTGCCAAACTGTTCGGACTTGACACACCGTTCTCAACCCCCTTGTGTTCTCAAGGTTTGGGCAGTTGCCCATAGGGTCTCAACGTTTGGGCAGTTGCCCACCCGGATTTTTTTTCTCCACCAACATGCTTGGGGCCGACAAGAGCATCTCCCCACTACACCCCCGGACCGTTCTCCGCCCACGGACCGTTCTCCGGGTGCTTTTCGATTCGGCTCCACCCAGGCTTCTAGGCCTGTGGCGCGAGGGATTATCAGAGCGCCGGAGGGGGAAGGGGGGTCCCTCTTCTCCTCCAAGCATCCATCCAAACAAATGGACTTGTTCGACAAAACAATTGCATCTCAGAATGGTCACTTGCTTGCCAAACAAAAAGATTGATGTATATATAATCTTCAAGAAATAGGTAGAATCTTCCAAACCCACAAGTGGTTTGCTTGGAACAGTTGCATATTTTGGGGGAGCATTCCTTTTGGATGCTTTTCGATCACCTTTCACAACACGCTCCTTCACAGCACCACCCAAATAAGGGGGAACCACATATCGGGTTCAGAGCTGTACATTCGTGTACATTGGCTCTGATAAACACACCACAAAGGAAGTCTAAAGACTATAGATTCGACTCTGTTTCATAGCCGGTGGGCGACCAGAAAGCAAAGAAAACTCACCAAGTCGGAGAAAGGGTCTTTGGACTCCGACCTTCCAGACCTCGAGCTGAGGATTGCTCAGATCCCGCATCATCAGAGGTGCCCTCTGCTGCTGATCCGAGTTCCATCCACGTCCCATCCCAGTCCCTCGCGCCGCCGGTCTTGCGAACAGGAAGTTCTGCTCTTCCTGCTCACCTCGTGTTGCGGAACCATGCCCTTTGGAAGCTGCGAAGAAACTGAATACTGCTGGGATTCCTGGTCCACCGCTGTTTTAATGGTCTGAATCCCAAGCCACCATTGCTTTACTAAGGATTTCAGACTAGAACCAGGTCAACCCTTCTTTTGATGGTCTTTACAGGCTTGAGAAATACACACCCAGGCTTCCGTTCGGGGTGTCCAATGGAGACCTATGTGTAGTGTAAGGGGGTGTCTAACGGTGACCTCCATATGGGACTGGAACATGGTAATAAGAAAACTAAGAATCCGCTACAGAATATGCAATACAAAACCTCTGAAATCAACCACCCAAACTGATCGGGAGTCATATGTCAGTCCCACCGAGTGTCTAGAACAGGTGAATCAGCTTCATGTTTCTTCAACAGGCTTCAGTGACTGCATGCAAGTTGATTGCAGCAACATCAGCAATCAATTTCCCGCCAACAGGACTTTGCATCTGAACCTTGAACGAACTTTTGACCTCCCCGTCCGTTGGCAGTTACTTGCAATACCCCCTCTCCCTGGTTTGCGGTCCAAATCGCAGAGGTTCAAACCGCGAAGCTGCTCGTAGGCCACCGGGGCGTTCTTCGCCAGGCGATCGCGCCAACGCTGGCATTCCAAGTGCAAATATCCCGCGGACGAGCTCTTCCCACGTGGGCGTGAAGGGAGGCGGATGCGTTTCTTCAGGAAATAGGAACCTGTGGGAAGGATGAACACATACCCGTAGGGTTATGACAAAAAGCTGCCTGCGGTTTCTATTTAAACAATAGAAAGTGCAAGAGCTTTGTTTCATAACCCTAGGGCTCCAGTCGCGCCTTCTAAAAAAGGTGTTTGGGGTGGGTTAGGAGGGTCCAACGACCTTCTGAGGAGGTGCGACTGGAGCCCTAGGGTGATCAATATGGACAGAATGGGCCGTTTGGTGACTGACTTCTCTTGTTGAACGCCCAAGCAAGATCAGTCTGTCGTGCTCGGGATGGTTTGCAAGATATCCATGTTTACGCAATCCACCCAAGGAGATCACACAAAAAGAACATACAGTAAAATGTGCAACACCAGCAACATGACCAAGATCCAGCGGCTTACAAGTTGGTGTGGTTGAATTGCAAACACTTCCAGCCAAACAACTCCTCGTGAATTGGAAGAGATGTGGCACAATGGTGCTCACCAGTTTTCCCGTCTCTCCAGTTCTTTTGGACCCCCGCCCTGTGGCTAAAAGGTCTGGCAGGTGCTTCTGTGAGGCCCTCAGCCATAAGCAACTCTCAAGCACCTCCACCTAACCTCGCAACATCTCCGTTCCAAGGACCCTCCCATGCCAACTCCGGGCCAACCGGCCAGGCAGCTCGGTTCCTCTCTCGCCAACACCGGATGCACCCGGGTGTCCAGGTCATAAACCCCATAGCTGCCACAGCTGGTATCGTTCACCGCATCTTTGCAATGGATGCCTCAGCGAGCTCAGCCAGCTACCCGTGCTCTTTTCAGCTCCTCCTTTTGAAGCAGGTGAGTAGACCCTTCGGGGCTTTAGTGCACATGGAACCTCGCAGGATAGTATGACGTAAGTATAATCCAAAGGTCCCTGTTCCATCAAGAAAAGAAGGCAGGAAGGAAGGAATGACAGGGCACTCGGGATGATGATCCCCCGTACAAGTTGTGTGCTTTTTGGGTTTGACTTGCACAAATGCCTCAGGTTCCAAAGAAGATCTTGGAGGGTAAGGGGGTTCCCATTCTGGAATTCCAGATACTTCCAGTATATCCATTGGAACTGAACGTAGATCCGATATGATCCGATGAACATGTTTCAAAGAGACGTCCTTCCAGTCTGAACATGTCAGAACCAATGATTCTCTGTACATCTTAGAGAACCTTCCAAAGTCTGAAATGCGTTCCATGATCGGATTCCTTGTCTCTTCGACATCTGCGTGTTGTGCATGCGTCGGCTGTGGATTGTCGGCAAATGAATTGAAGGGTGGCGGTCTGGCCTTGCTTGGCGGCAGTGAGCTCATTGCTATCTTGACTCCACACGCACAATGCGATATATGGCCCCTGATGCTTTGATTGATCGCCGCCGACAGGAAAACCCGAAGACCCAGGTACGCCTGCGCACACTCGTGGTGCTTGCATCAGCTTGCATCTGGACACGGCATGCTCTGGTCTGCTCCAAGTGTGCCTATTGGCGCCGCCCAGCTCATCATGTCTGCAAGCAGTGTGGCTCTGGTCTGCATCACCTTGTCGATCGTGACGTGCTGGACATGGTACATTGTTCCAGCTTGTTTACAGTCCCGCCATCTACTCTTTTGACATTGCCCTGCATCTACTCCTTGTTAACCTCAGGTTGGACTCGAGCTTTAGAGCAGCTGGCCTCGTTGACACACCACGTACAGCTATTGGGTGTTTGTCATATGCAACACCTTCATCGTCGAGCGTGCAAAGCACATGCCCCGCCGGCAGCCAAGTCGGTATGGGTGTCCAGGGCTCATGGCTGTCGTGCTGACTGTCGTCTGCCTTAAGGCTGGGCAATGCTGGGCATAGGGAGGCCAAGCCGCCTTGTGACCAGCACAACTACCAGGTTACCAGGCCGCTTGCCACATAGGCTTCTGACATAGCAGCACGAGACAGGACTTCATATGGTTCAGGCCGATATATGAGTTAGCGTCAGTCCCCTATCGTTTTCCATAGTTTTGGATTTTGCAAGTATGTAAACACAGGGGTATCGTTTTTTGTCAGTCCCCTATCGTTTTTCAAGGAAAATCACGAAAGCAACACAGAGATGAAACGTCCCTTACTAAAGTGGTTGATGATAATTTTGAGGTTGCCTCATATGACATTGGCCCTACTCGACATGTCAGAGTAGTCGAGGTCCTGCTCGCCATTATACCAGTTATGGTAATTTGATGTAATTTGGCATGAGGCCAAGGAGCTACCCCAGCAAGCAAGACGCGAGGAAGCACAGTTGTGCCTGCAAAGACAGTGACTTCAGATGGCATGTGTTCCAGCCCTCTTGCTGCCTCCTGGATTCTAGCACCG